GCTAGATTTGTCTGAGCCAGTGTTGGCTGTTCATCTGTCTTGTCTTTCCCTTAGTACTTGTGTCATCCAGATCCTACATATATGTTCATGGTGGTTGATAAGATGGAAAGCTTTGGTTGTCTCAAAGATGCAAATGAATTCAGCCTCAGCAAGATGCAATTAGAGGCAGCCTGGTTCTGAGGAGTGACATCTCAGAGGCATGATGTCAAGGCTGTGTTAAGTTCATGCCACAGTTCTCTTCTGTTTGACTAGTATTTTGGTGCCAGTGTGGATAGCCACACATTTTTTTTCTGTCTTTTCTTGCCCATTCTTGAGAATTTGCCAATTTATTGATCCTATACTTGTCACTTCTATTATATCCAGCCACGACTGATCCTCACATCTCTGAACTCCACATCTTGCCTGTTTTTCTCACTGTTCCATCTGTAGTAGTCTTCAATACTGGTACATACATTTTCTAGTATGAAGTATGTATCCATTCTTAAACAGTACCTGACAAAAGACTGCTGTGTTGTAATTGTATTTTCTTGGATGTAGACATACCTTTCTAAATAGTACTTATGTGTCATTAGCAGGTAAAGTCCTGCAAATTGTTCACAGAGGAAGAAATTACAAACCTTGCCTTTTCTCTCTGTTGCACAGTATGGTCATACCTTTTGCATCATGAGGCCTCTGCATTCTGTGATAGCTGCTGAGCAGCCCCACTTTCATCCTGAACCCACTTCCCTATCCCTGCAAATATTCTATGGACTTGGTTTTTGTTTGTTAGACACATTTGTGCATAGGCTGCACATTCTTAACAAAGTCAACATATACTTTACCAGCATTTCCTTGCTTTTAGGTTGTTGGCATGGAGGGGAAGATGAGGCAGCACCTTCTAAGCCGAGCAGTTGTGTACACATATACAAAGACGAAAGAGTTGACACTGGAGAAAGACGTTATGAGTGTAGTAAATGTGAGAAATCCTTTGCTCAAACCTCTAGTCTCATTAAACACAGGAGTGTTCACACTGGAGAAAGGCCTCATGAATGCAGTGAATGTGGAAAATTATTTCGCCAAAATGCTGCACTCCGTGTTCATCAGAGATTTCATACTGGACAAAAGCCTTATGAGTGCAATGAATGTGGAAAATCATTCCATCGAAGTTATTCACTCTTGCAACATCGGAGAATTCACACTAGAGAAAGGCCTTATGAGTGTAGTGAATGTGGGAAATCCTTTAGCCTAAGATCCAACCTCATTCACCATCAGAGAGTTCACACTGGAGAAAAACCATATGAGTGTGGGCAATGTGGGAAATTTTTTAGTAAAAGATCTATCCTCATTACACATCAGAGAGTTCACACTGGAAAAAGGCCTTATGAGTGTAGTGAATGCGGGAAATCTTTTGCTTATTCTTCTAGTCTCATTAAACACAGGAGGGTACATACTGGAGAAAGGCCTTATGAGTGCAGTGAATGTGGGAAATTATTTCGCCAAAACTCTGCACTCCGAGTTCATCAGAGATGTCATACTGGACAAAAGCCTTATGAGTGCAGTGAATGTGGAAGATCATTTCACCGAAGCTCTTCACTTTTGCAACATCGGACAGTTCACACTAGAGAAAGGCCTTATGAGTGTAGTGAATGTGGGAAATCCTTTGCTCAGACTTCTAGTCTTGTTAAACACAGAAGAGTTCACACTGGAGAAAGGCCTTATGAGTGCAATGAATGTGGCAAAACCTTTGCTGAAAACTCCAGTCTCATTAATCACAGGAAAGTTCACACTGGCGCAAAGCCATATGAATGCAGTGAATGTGGCAAGTTCTTTGCTTATATTTCTAGTCTTATTAAACATAGAAGAGTTCACACTGGAGAAAAACCTTATGAGTGCAGTAAATGTGGGAAATCCTTTGCTGAAAACTCCAGTCTCATTAAGCACATGAGAGTTCACACTGGAGAAAGACCTTATGAATGCAGTGAGTGTGGAAAATCATTTCGCCACAGCTCTTCACTACTTCGACATCAGAGAGTTCACACTGGAGAAAAGCCTTATAAATGAAGTAAATTTGGGAAATTCTTCAGCCAGAACTCTAGCTTTATTATACACTGAGGAAGTACCTTTTGAGTGCAGTGAATATGACAAAGCCTTCAGCCTTTTCTCATTGGGTATCAAAACATTCAAATGAGAGAAACAATGTACAGGGCATGGTATTTCGTGTTCAGTATAATCCTGGAGGAGGTCTCTTATGAGGGAGCCATCTGCTTAAATTGAATGTCATACATTGAACATCTGCATGAATTCCAGGTAGGTGGGAGCTGTGTTGCATTTTTCAGCCTGCCAGGGTGCCTTGTCAGGATTATGTGAGTGCCACTTCTCTGGCAAAAGCCATTTTGCTTTTACCACTTAGCAGGTTGGCAGGTGCCCACAGTTGAATGATGATTCAACCACCTCATCAGATTCCAGACAGAACTTCAGTCTTCCATTCACTTCACCAGAAAAATTTGTGAGTAGCCTCAGTACTCATTCCTTTCTCTCAGAGGAGTTAGACCATGGACCTGACCCAGAAGACTCTTCTGGTTTCTTGAAAAGATGGGACTACTTTTGGGGAGATCTTGTGGATCTTGCAGGATGATGATGATGATGATTACATTATTTGTAGAGATGGAGTCTTACTATGTTGCTTGGACTAGTCTTAAACTCCAGACTTCAAGCTCACAGAATACTTGAGATGGAATTTTCTCAACTCTCAGTTACAAACTTGAGACAACCTGCCTTGCATTGCTCTGGTTTGTGATACAATGAAGCCCTGCTGTACTGTTAAGACACCTTCAATCTCTGGAGTTGTCTTCATACATTGTCTTCACTATGTAGGGTGACTTGAAAACAACTAGATTTGTTACAGTGAAGGTATGAACAGTTATTGTATTCTTGGGATCACTAAACTTTGCTTCACAGGGGACAGTAGGACGTCAATATATCATTTGCTCCAGTTTTGGCCTACTTGCACTGCTTCCCAAAATCTCCAAAGAAAGACTACAGGGCTTTTTGATTCTTATTTTAGCCTTGATTTTACAATAATAACTCATAGGTCAACTTGACAAGGGGGCAATTTTTGTCACAACCTCTGGTGTTTCTGAGAACAACATAAAATTCGTGTCTTGTTTACAAGGGATATTCTCTGTTTAATATTGGTGAGGGTAGTTTCACAGGTTATAGATGAAACTGTAATTTTTCTAGAAACACTACACTTATAGGCAATGGTGAGACTGCATGAAGGGATTTGAATTTGCCTCTTTTAATAGGGCACCCATAGTAATGCAGTCATTGTGGTTCTGAAGGATAAGTACATACTGAAATTCTCAGAACTGCTTGAATTTTTAATATTGTGTACCTGGGTCAGTGTCAGAGAAAATAATCCAAAGATTTTGTCAATTCTTTTACAAAGCCTATCTCTGTAGGCTTTTTAGGCTGTTTACTTCAAGGCCATTCCTGCATTGGCAAGAGGGAGAGGAGAAAGGAGATCTCTTAGACCAGCTTGTGGCATTTGTGGGCAGCTAGCATTCTTTTTTGAATCGTCTGGAATTGGTCTTCATTGCTAATCATATTTTTGTTACCACTGAGGCTAGCTGTGTCACTCAGGTCATGAGGGAGAGAAGCAATAAAGAAATACTGAGTTAATAATTTTGCAAAAGTCATAGCAAGTATGACATATAGATTTTTATTTTGAAACACATTTTTAAAGCTTTGATATAAGATATAAATGACATTCAACCAACTGCCTATATTTAAACAGAATAATGTGGTAAGTTTTGACATTTATATAAACCCATGAAGCTGTCATCACAATCATGATAATGAACTTATTAATCACTTCATGTTTATCCAGAACATTTTAATAACGTCTCCCTCTGCCTTCCAGACAACCGTTGGTATATTTTGCTTCATGGTAGATTATTTTACATTTTTTAGACTTCCATATGATTAGTATAATAAAGTGTTTAGTCTTTTTATCTCTGAATACTCTCCTATAGCATATTTATTTTGAGATTTATCACTAATAATACAAGTAGTTCATTCTTTACATTGTGAGAAGTATACCTTGTTTTGAAATACCAGTGTTTGTATCTTCATTCATCTTTCATTTATGCATTCTTAAGTTGTTCCTCATTTTTGACTGTTATAAATGAAACTACAGACATTTAAATACAATTATTCATATAGATAATGTTTCATTTCTTTTGTGTTAATATCTTGGGGTTCAATGATTGAGTCATAGGATAGGTGAATGTATAGCTTTTTAAATAACAATAAAATATGCCCTAAAATTAATAACAGTGATTCCCTTTTGTATTACTGTCACCTGTGTCCAAGAGTTCCACCTCTTTCTATTTTTACCTATGAAGAGTAAAGATAGTCTTTAAAAAATTTTTTTATGTTCTCTATACATATACATGTGTTTATTTGGTTTCCATTTTTTGCCTTCACAAAATTAAAAAGGCTTAAAATTTAATAACAGTAACAATGTTTAAGATAAGGACTAGAAACAAAAACCTCATAAAGAACAAATGAAGATAAATTCAAAAAAGAAATCAGATGATTGCTGCAATGAAATATTGAGCAATAAAAATAATAATAATGCAAAAAAAGTAACATTCACATTGTCAGATAGGAGTATGTCTATCATAGAATGCTTTGACTCTGAGGTTCAATATGGAGTCATCAGTTAATTTTCTTGGGTTTTTTTTCCCAAACTCTCAAAAAATAGACAACTAATATTTATAAATAAAGGATAATTTCAAAAAACAGATCATGCCAAATCTTACATACAATAGAAAAAGAAGAAATACTTCAAAATCATTCTACTTCATCTGGATACACCTGATATTAAAATTAGAAAAAGGCTCGGCGCCTGTGGCTCAAGTGGCTAAGGTGCCAGCCACATACACCTAAGGTGGCAGGTTCGAATCCAGCCTGGGCCCACCAAACAACAATGA